TTTTGTCGAGAACTGACAACAGCAGAGTCGACATGGGCCTATTGCCGGAGCGAGTCGATCAATGATTCAACGATTCGAAATTGATGCATGAGCATGTTTTAACTTTCAGCAACAGACATTGAAGGTTCTTTCCCGCTACAGTATGTATTAATTTTGAAAATAAGAAGAATGTAGTCGCGTTGTGACGGTCAACATAGGTTCACGGCTGTCTGATATCGCGCAGGAGATCGCGATTCAGGAAAACCGATAGAACTAACTTTTTAACAATTTCCAGCCACACCCGGTGGCGGAAATGAGCCTTCAACTAAGTGTTGTAGTTGATAAAATTGAGTCATTGTCAACATTTCAAAATATCAATATTAAGATAAATTCAGTTACAAAAAGCTACAAGCTGAAACAGCAATTATCACGAGAAAACTTGCACGCACTCTGCGAGCGTACCAATGTTCATCGACGCCACAGCGCTAAGTTCAGTGCACGCTCCAGACACAAAATGTTCCGAGCACAGTCGAGCAGATGGCGTTGGGGAAAAGTATTTTTGGTTTACGGGCGCAACCCACAGCCGTAGGAGATCGGGGTCATGTGGAAACAGACGCACTCGCCTTGCCGGATTCCGTGCAAGCTATTTAGGTCCTCAGACAGTATTCGACGCCTTCTGTCGTTTTTCGTGCACCCTATAACCGAGCAATGATGTCCCGATGACCGGGGGACTGTCGCCACTCAAGCCTCAGGCTCTAATAATGTGTGGGAGTTTATAACAGAGAAGAAAGCGCGAACGAAGTTCGGGCAATGCAGGCACCCAACACCGCCGAAGCCTCTCCATATCGTACTTTCTCTATTTCTAACGCTCCAGCGAGGGGGAAAGCGCCGGTAGCCCTTTCCCCTTTTGTCTCTCGCTCTCAAAATGGCGCTACCCATGATAAAACGACCTATAGTTTAAATTGTAACGTTTTCCCCAATTCAAACGTCTCCTTGCTTGCGCGGGTGTTTCTTGCGCTACTGCAGCGTGAGTGACGATTTGTTCTCCGAAACTTGTTTCACTGCGTTCTTGTCCAGTGATAGGGCGATCTCATTAACTGCAAAGCGATCAAAAGACTCCCAAGACCCGCCTCGCCCCGCGTTTTGAAGCTGCCGGCCCATGATGTTCTTACTCGCGTGCAAAGACAAAAGCCGGTTCGCACCGAGACGGCTTCGAATCGAGAGCGGCCGGACCTGGCACACGTTCGCTCGCGCCGTCGTTCTTCGAATGTTCGATATGAGTCGACCGACGACGCCTCCTCCGGATCGCCTCCGATACAACCGGCGCTGTCGTTCCGAGGCTCCCCACTGTCATCCTATGGATGAGCAAAGGGACAAAGAATGGCCCTCTCCCGCCTTGTCTTTCTATCCCGAAAAACCGGCGCTTATCCCTCAGGTTTTTTTGTTTTTGTTTTGTTTTTAGGTCACGGGACGATTTCTTTATTATAGCGCTTTTATTTCTGCCCTGTTTCCTCTCACTTCTCGCCCGCCTTCCTGCCTTCTTGCTGCGCTCTCATTAAGTCACCCTGCTCATAGTGAGGGCGCAGACCAGGTGGTGTAAGTTTACCATTTACATCTGAGACCGAGTATGAAAATACCTTGAACTGAGATTGGGTGGGAAAAAAATTATAATGTTGTTTCAAGGTACTTTTTCACACCCAGTCTCAGGTGCTTTGACACAATGGTAGATACTTCTCATACTCTATTTACTCGGGTAATAGACGCACAGTTTGTGAACAAAGCCTGCGGGTCTGCTTTCCTACGAAGCATGAAAACAGCGAGTCACCACGATCTGCAGTAAACAAAAAAAAGGGGGGCAGCGATTCACGGGACAGAGATAACGTTTTCACGCGAAAATGGTATCTGCTCAGATCGCAATTTTACAGAGTATTGCGTTTTTAACCCTGTTGCTGTCTAACGTTTTTTTGTGTGTGTTTTTTGTGTGTGTTTTCTTTTTTTACATATTGCGATGATTTGCTGCACGTGTGTTCTCTAGGAACATAGATGCAAGAGCCTCGTTCGTGAGAAGTGCGTCCATTACTCGAGCGAATACGGTACATCCTACAAAAGGCACGACGGCGTTTGCTGCAGACATTGTCTGCTGATCGTATTTTGTAATATATATTAGCAGTACCGCGGCATTAAAGAAATGTTGAGGCCACCCTCAGAGAAGTCAAAACTGCTGCTACCAGTGGTGACCACCCTTGAACCCTAAGCTGACAGTGCGATAGAACTAGCGTTGAGTAAAGTACATCTAAAAAAATACTCTAAGTGAAGGGCAAATTAAATCAGAGGTTATGTATACTTCGACTAAAGTGTCCCACTAGAGCGACAGACAGAAACAAACGACAGCGACAAGCCTCAAACCAGTCTTTCGCGATTTGACAGGCTTTGTAGAATAAAGGAGGCTATGCTCAATCACGAGCATCATGCACGCAAGGGTATCTTTGCAAGCTTGCAATCGCTCGTGCTTACTTCACGAGCACTGAACGACTACACGCCTGCCCAAGGTACCATCGCGAGCATGGTGCATGGGTTTGAGGCTTGTCGCTGTCTTTTGTTTCTGTCTGTCGCTCTAGTGGGACACGGGCATTAAGGTTTGACTACTCCCGTCTTCTAGCATATGGGCACGAGCCACTACCCGAATGCATGTCGATGCATTGATTGTCACGAGCCAAAATCGAATGACCACGCAGTCTCCGTGTCTACCACTGATCTCTATGACTATTTGCTGAATCGCATTTGCCCAACTCCGCCTAGGCACAGGAATGTGGCCACAGTCGGCCATCTTTTTGGTAAAGTTATATTATCTCTAGCCATTATAGTAATATGGTGGACGGCGCTGTTGCGGCAGGCTGCCATAAAAATAGCCGTGGGTCTAGTACACTGTACCGTGGGTGATATTTCGTGCTTGATTGAAGTCGCTCGATAAAGCAGATTCTTGAAACTCAGAGGATGTGACGGAGGGAGGTCGACTATGTCGTTATGTTGTGCGGCGCGCTGTTCAAATCACCCCGATCACGAAAAGACAAGAACTTACCATCGGTAAGTATTCAGTGTTCTGTAACTATCCTGACGCGCAGAGATACGTTCGGTGAAAAATATTTACTTGTTCCCAAGGTTATCACGAATTCGCCCCGTGATCCTTCAGCTGTGGGTGGAAAACGTGTGCCCTATCTAACGGGCGGTAGACTGTGCCTCCATACTGCTATGGTGTGGCTAGAGATAACATAACTCTACCATAAAGATGGCCGACCATGGCTGCACTCGCGGAGCGTGCAAACGAGATCCAGCAAATAATCATAGAGATCAGTGGTGTCCACAGTGTAAGAAGCATTTAAAGATCGCCCCAGCGGGGATCGCAAAGCTTGATGACGCAGTCCTGGGGATCGCATTGTTGGCCGTGTCCCCACAGCTACGTCATCACGTTTCATGAAGGAGAAACTGAAAAAGGAGGTGCACTTTCATCCTTGGAATTCTACCGCGACGAAAACTCTTTTTGGTCAGTGGCGTTGCGTTCGGGTGTTCTTGGGCCCCACTAGTGCCAGTAAGCTGGTGTAAAGTGAGAAACGTTCCTGTTGTAGATTATGCGATCTGGTAGTAGGACAAGAGGAAAAGGAGGTAGAGGAGCGCAGAACCACGAGATCATAAACGGCACGAGAGAGAACGATAAACCGACACCATCGAAACGGACGTGCCCGGGATCTCTTCCTTAACACTGGTGCCGAAACCCGGGAAACGAGATGGACCGCAGCCGAAGAACCCGCGGCATCGTCCGCTCAGCCGTCAGCCGAACAATAACCCAAATCGACAATCTTCTGCAAGACGAGAACACGACAGAGCTAGACCTCCGACTACAACTGGACTACCTGCTTCAGAAAGAAAGCGACCTAATCCGCCTTGACCGTGACATCCAGACGTCCACCTCAGATGACGATCTTGAGGCCGAGCTTGAGGGAGCAGAGGAGTACCGTCTTCGCATCAGTCATAGCCTCACGCGCGTCCGACACGCCCTCGACTCTCAGGTCTCTGTACCACAACCCACGAATATCACGCCCAACGTCCCTGTCGACAGAGCCCAGTCCGGCGGTCTTCCTCCAACTCTGACCTCAAGGAGCCACAGGACGGTCGCCCTACCGAAACTGCAGGTACCGACTTTTGCCGGGAGCCGTCGCGACTGGCAGGGGTTCTGGGATCATTTCAATTGTACGATACACACCAATTCTGAACTCCCGCCAATCGATAAGTTTAAATACCTTCTCACGTATCTCACAGATGACGCGAAGCGAGCCGTAGAAGGAATCCGACTTTCAGAACAGAATTATGACCTCGCGGTACAGACGCTACAAGACCGATTTGGACGACGGGACATTCTAATTGATGATCACATTGATCGGCTTCTGAGCTTGCCCGCGGTCAACAGTTCAACCAACGCAGTACAGCTTCGTAAACTCTACGATGCGATACGCTTCAGAACAACATCTCTTCAAGGGCTGGATGTCCCACCTAGCAACTACGCTGTCGTCCTACATCGTGTTCTCCTGCGGTGCCTTCCTGCTGACCTGGCTATACTATACCGACAGAAGTTAAGGGAAGCAGCACTGACACCATCAGCCGACACACCTGACATGCGCCCGGAAGAGCAGGTCCGCGTCATCATGTTATTTCTACAGACTCAAGTGGAAATTCGAGAAGATGTCCAAATGGAACACCCAAGTCACTCTCCCCAGTATGGGTCATCGCCGATACCACGTCAAGAATCCGTACAGGCGAGCCACCCTTCCGCACTCGCACTCTCGACTGAGACTGTTGGCTACCGAGCGGCCACGTGCCCTTTGTGTGATACCACCCAGCACGAGGTGCAAAACTGCCAGGCTAGACTTTCAACACCAGAAAAACGAACCAAGCTTGCACTAGCACGCTGCTGCTTCAAATGCGGCAAGCGAAACCACATCGCTCGTTTTTGCAGTTCGTGCAGGAACATGACATGCGCAACTTGTGGAGGTCACCACGTGACTATACTCTGTGATCTATCACGTCCCACATCAGCCGCATCAGACAACCCAGACCCAGGAGGACTTCGTGAAGGTACCGCAACAGTCGTGAGCGCACCAACCACCAGTTCCCGCTCTTCTGCTGTCTTGCTGCAAACTGCTAGAACGTGGGCTCTAGGGACACCGAGACACCTCCTACTGAGGCTGTTACTGGACAGTGGGAGTCAGCGCACGTTTATCCGGCAGGACATTTCTGAAAAACTGGGTTGTGAAGTCGTTGGCCAGGAGGAGATTACTATATACACATTTGGAAACACAGCCACCAAACGGTCCTGTAGACGAGTGGTTGTGACCCTCCATAGCCATCAAAGCAACCAGAAGACATCTTCGTCCACCAGACCGCCATCACGCGGAACCACCCGCAGAAGCTCACGCGCACCGTTTCCGAGGGCGAGACAGTTCAGTTTGACGTCGTCGTAGACGAGAAAGGGCGCGAGGCCGCCAATGTGACAGGTCCCGACGGCGAGCCCGCGCAGTGCCTCCCTTATGCCATGGGCGGAAGACGCTTCGGAGGTCGTTGGTTTCCGAGACGGAGTCAATGCCGACCGATGCCCAACCCGCTCCACGGTGTGCAGGACTCGGACGACTTCCATGACGTTGTGCTCGTGCCGGACTCGCCGCGGCCGCAACCGCCACCGCAGCGACGGCTGCAGCCTGGGAGACCCTGTTTACGCCGCTACTACCGCCGTTACAGTGGTATGACCAGGAGCTCGCTACCCGCCGAAGACATAAGACCCAACTTCCAGCTTGAAGAGGAGGACGAATACAGGGACACCCGAGTCCAGCGGAAGCCACATCGACGCTTCTACGGGAGGTACTACCGCAGGCGTGGCGGAAGGTCTAGGAGTGATCCAGAGGAGTTCGACTTCGAGCAGGAGCTCAGGAACGCGCCGGGTTTGTGGCGAAAGCCGAGACCTCGGTCGACGTCGGCGTCGGCGTTGAGGGCGTCCGCCGGACGTAACCGGGAGACGTTGTTATTATAAAGGACGACACGCCACTGCTCCTATGGAAACTTAAAAGAATAACAGCAGCATTTCCTGGAAGAGACGGCATACCAAGACTCTGCGCGGTTCGCCTTGCAAACAGACAAGAAATTCAGCGCCCTATGCAAGGCCTTCTCTTTCTTGAAGGCAACATATCAAACTAAGAATTGACACAGAACGATGGACACCCCTTGTCTGCTACAAGCATTGCGTTATCATGACTTCACTGAAACTGTGTGGGACTCGGCAAAGTTTTCATTCAACTTGTTTGTGTATTTTGGTATTCCCCATCGACCTTTCATGAGTTCGTGTTTTCTGCACTGCTCTGTACTTTCTTAAACTTCCTGATCTCGCGGTATGGGAATGCATGGTCTCATCTCCAGGCCGGCGCGGGAAGTTGTTGTAGATTATGCGATCTGGTAGTAGGACAAGAGGAAAAGGAGGTAGAGGAGCGCAGAACCACGAGATCATAAACGGCACGAGAGAGAACGATAAACCGACACCATCGAAACGGACGTGCCCGGGATCTCTTCCTTGACAGTTCCTACCCAACATCGTTGCACAGCCCTTTAAGTAAAGTACAAGTAGATGCTCATAGAGTGTACTTCAAGCAAAGTACAAGTTTTCTAAACCTACTTGAAGTAGTCCTTTAAGGAGAATGTACTTAAGGCCACGGTCCCACTGAATGTGGCAGTTTAGGTACTTTTCGGCAGGCCATTACTCATCTCCTTTTAAATACTGTTTTTTGGGATTAATGTCATTTGAAAGGCAATGCAATCCTCTTTCATTTGATATTATGTATGTGTTGGTTTTTACTGTTCATGCGCATTTGTAGCGTTGCGAATATGATGGCGCGGACCCTCACTTGCTCCGCTAGTTCATGTTTTATGAACGATCCATTAGAGATAGCACGGTTCCAATATAGCAGTTTTGTTAAGATGATGTCGGAGCAGAATCTAACGATCCACTTTTTTTATATTTGCACTACTTTGTTTTTTTCATCCCTCCAAACATTGCCCTAAAATTGACATTTTTCCGCACAAATATGTTTTTAATGACAAGAGCTAGGGCAATGAAATTAGCTACAGATGTAGTGCTTATAATTGGTAATATGCAGAAAAAAATTTAATGTTGTGTAAATTTTTTTTGTTTAGGTATTTTATATCAAACGTGGCACTTTTTTGTGCTTCGTGTCATGGTAGTTCAAATGCCGCTGAAGAAATAATTAAACTATGATAAAATCTTTTATAACATTTAGAGCTACAGTGGTTGCCCAAGAGGTGGACGATGGCTTTTTTCATTTTCAAAGTCATAACGCTCCAGGAGCCCTTCAAACTTACCTGTTTTTGACGCATATCTGTTTTGGACATCAAACAGATTTATTGGCATTTAATAACATTTATAGTTTGGAATAGATATACATTGCGATGTATTAAATTTTCACAATGATATTGCTTTGGTTTCTTAATAGGTGTAGAGCTTAGCTAATTTTAAAAACAATTAAAAACTGTTTGGGTGTTTTGTTGCGCTACCTGGCGGATGGCAGACAAACTGCTGATTTCTAATGTTCAAAAAATTTCCGAGGGCGGCGTTGGCGTCTGTATCATCATCAATCTCCGTGTCTTTTTACCCTCACATTTAAAAAATATATTGGAAGATTTACTATCGATAACTGAATGGTTTAAGTACTGGGTTAGGCTAATAAATCTAAGACCTATATATACACTAGCGTAGCGTGATATAATGTGTTCATTATTCGATATGATTGAAATCAATAAACAATGAAGACGAAGAGGAAAAGAATACACCCGAGTTCACTTTATGCCTAGAGTCACTAAATGAGCTTTAAAGTATCGGCACTCCTAGAGTCACTAAATGAGCTACACTTAGAGTATCGGCACTCCGTTCCCCGACATTGTTGTGGGCGCCGCCATTTTGGCTCGTATGCAGAGCAGACGCAACTGCCGATCGTCATGATTCAAAAGTGCGACTTGCTCGGCATTCGGTTCGGTGTTAGAAAGGTTATGTAACATTGCTTTGCTCTGCCGCGAACTGTTTGAACATTTGTGGAGGGCGGAAAAGCGCTTCCTGTGATTTCAGATAAAGCTTCAGATAACTGGCAACCATGATTTTAAGACACAATATGGCCAAGTGACGTTACTCTGAAGCGTAGCTTATTTAGTGGCACTAGGCACTCCGTTCCCCAAAATTGTTTTGGGCGCCGCCATTTTGGGTCTTGCTCAGAGCAAACGCAACTGCCGATCATCGTGATCTAAAAGTACGACTTCCTCAGCATTAGATGCGGTGCTAGGAAGCTGATGCAATATCGCAATGCTCTGTCGCGGGTTGTTTAAACATTTGTGAGGGAGGGAAAAGCGTTTCCTGTGATTTTAGATAAAGCTTCATATAACTGGCAACCATGATTTTAAGCCACAATATGGCCAAGTGTCGTTACTCTGAACCGTAGCTAATTTACTGGCACAAGCGGGAACAATGAAGAAGAGGCAGGTGTCAAAAGGTAGTGGCTTGTGGAATCCACGGGGCTTACGATATGGCCCCTCCAGGTATTACTGCGTGGAGCACTTCATATGCCCTTTGCTTAGGGTGGAGCACGACATCTGGCCATTTTGTCCCCCTCTTTTATTTTTATTTTTTGTTCAAATGCGCGTGAAAGAGCGTGTCCCTGCACGCGCTCGTGGCGCTGATTGTGCTATGGCGACATTTTGTTTTCGTCGATTTCTTTGTATTTTCCCCGTGAGCGCGTGCTGTCGGCATCGGGTACTACAGAGGGTGGCATCACCCTAAACAGAAGGACATTGAGGCACCCTAGGTATTACAAGCCTCTTGAACAAGAGCATGAATAGTGTTATTAAATAAGCTACGCCTCAGAGTAGCCACGCTTGGCCTTAGTATGGCTTAAAATTATGGTTGCCAGTTATTTGAAGCTTTATCTGAAATCACAAGAAACGCTTTTCCGTCCCCCACTTTAAACAGTTTGCGACAAAGCAAAGCAACATTAAATGAGCTTCCTAACACCGAATCTAATGATGAGGATGTCGCACTTTTGAATCATGACGATCGGCAGTTGCGCCTGCTCTGCACAAGCACCAAAATGGCGGCGTTCACAACACTGTCGGGGAAGAGAGTGCCGATACTCTAAGCGCAGCTCATTTATTGGCTCTAGTTGCCGCGAAACTCCTTTTCCCTAACTGAAACTGAAAGTAAATATAAATAATACACCATTATTATAGCTTATTTAGTTATAACCAAATACACATAATGAGAGGAGGAAGCGGGCGGGTAGGAGAAACGCGGGTTTTATACGCGACCGTTCTAACCGTCTCAAAAGAGAGAACGCACGAGCTTGCGCTTGTTTAGAAGCAAAGGCATCCAAAGAAAAGAGGCGGCACACTGTGTTCTTTGTTATTATGCGTCTAATTGCAAATTGTTGTGTGTATGTTTATTCAGCCGGAAGTTAGTCTGTCTGCCTTAGTGGGCGTCTGGTGTCTCAGCTGTAGATGAGCAATTTAGCCAGTGTGGTAAAACCGAAAACCTGGGGTCTTCAACGTGCGCCACGCAGTAGTGATGCACGACCGCACGCCGGTACGATGCTCTTCCAGATCGAAACGGGCAGGGGCGGGGTGGGTTCTGCAGCGCGAGCTTTCGCTCCCAGTGCTCCGAGCTGGTGTGCGCTAGACCGTGCACTCGGCAACCAACCCCCCCTTGTGCGTCTAATTTATATACAGGTATAAGTATTTGAAGATCGACAATGGACGTCGATCGTCTCGAGGTAATGTAACGTAATAACATTATATAAATTATAAACTGGTTGAAGGACTGAACGACTTAATTTTTCAATTCTTGGATTGTAATGTGGCGGTATCCTATTGTACTTACTGTTGATGAAGAGCAATATGAGGTGACGAGGTAACGATTAGATGATGAGGCTCTATAAGGACGACGACATTAATGGGTGTTGAACCACAACGTACAGTGCCGGACTTGTTTCAAGTATCGTGTACCCAAAGACTTTCTTCACCCGTAACAGTATATGGTAGAATCAATGAGGATGTTGCTTTACAACTGTACGTGGAACAGGAAAACTGCACTGTGCAGAAGCGCGGCTTATTCGTTAATATGAGGGACAGATTTCTAGCAGCATTCCCTGATTGACTACTTGGAACAAATGGCCTCGTTGACGTAAAGTGTCCCCGTTCCAAAAGATTCTTGAAGCATACTTAAACCGCAAAGGAGTATGAGGCGAAAAATAAGAAAAAGGAGTCTGGTGTGAAAGGTCCAGATCACCACCGTAGCTTCTACTATCAAATACAAGAGCAGTTACACAATACACAAAGAAAGGTTTGTGATTTAGTTATATTTACACTTAAGGGCATTGATATCCAACCTATTCAGAGAGATGACACCTCCTGGTCAACCAACATAGAGCCTTTTCTACTCAAGTTTTACATGGAAGGCCAGACTTCCGCTGAAATTCCTCACGTAGGCGAGTTGTCCGACCGAATAAACTGCCATTACTCCCGATGTGGGTATCTCTCGATCTTTGTTCGTAAGCGATAGTATCATGAGATCGAGGGGTGTGGCTATTCTTCCGCCGAATATTGCTTCGGCGGGTTTTTTTCCGTGTAAGATGAGACCGACGCGTGCTGCCGGAACAAGAACCTGGCGATTCTTCACTGAACTGCTTCTTCCGTAAGCTTCAAAAGGGATTTTTTTTTTCGTTTCGCACACCATCTGTTCTGCTTGCCCGTTAGTTGCAGGATGGTATGGTGCACTAATGTGATGCCTGATGCCGTTTTTTTTTTTTTCTTCAAAAACTTGTTTATTTTATTTGAAGCAAGATTTGGCGCGTTATCAGAGAAAAGTATTTTCGGTAGGGCAAAAGTAGGTAAAAGAGACCGTAGAACGTCAATGACGTGTTTGGACGTCGTGGCAGACATCGTGTAAACTTCCAGCCACTTAGAGTACGCATCGTACATGACTCCGCAGATGTGGATACGTT